TTCTGTTACTGTAGAACAAGTAATTGTTTATGTATGATTGTAGCACTAATATTAACTGAATGTGTCACTCTTATTATATTAATATTAATTGTATAGTCAATATAAACTGAATGTGAACACATGAACCCATTTACAGATTATATAAAATGCATAAATTTATATTTTATGTTAAAACAATTCAGCAATTGAATTAAAATCTTTTTACACTGTGTGGGATCAATGCAAAACTATTTCCTTTCCATTATAATTGTTTGCATAATATATAATTTATTTGTAATATCTTTGCTAGTCATATGATTTGAAGATAAATTTAAAATTATTTTTTCCCACTGTATACAGTAACCTTTGGAATCACTCCTGTAAATTTATTTCTCACTGAAACACATTTATATGTATTCTTTTATTAAATCTTTAATATATTTCAAAACAATAAACATTGATAAATGTTATTTAATTATTTTTCTTTGTATGAATCACTATGAAATATAACAGATTTTACATATATGATCAGGTTTTCAATATGCATTGATTTAATTACTGATTTGCAAAAATGCTAATGCATGTAAACTCATAACACTACTGTAATGATTTTCCCCTTAGATTCCAAAAAATCCCCTGACGTTCCCCTGTCTGTCCCTGACATTTTCCTGTCTCCCCCTGACTTTCTCCTATGATCCCCTGTCGTTGTCCCTGACTACCCTGTCTACTCCCTGACGTCCCCTGACTTTGCCCCTGTTACCACTGTCTAACCCCTGATGTCCCCTGACATTCCCTGACGTCCCTGTCAACTCCCTGATGTCCCCTGACTAAGTCCCTGACCACCCTGCCAACCCCCTGTCGTCCCCTGACATTCATTTTGACCAGGAAAAAGGGTTAAAATATGTTTTGTTGCTATTTATTTGTGAGAAAATCGATACCTTACTCCTAGCAATTTTCAAGTTTTGTGAAAATGTAGATTTAATCATTAGTTTTTCTGTTTGAAATATCTTTAGCGAATCTTTCAAAATATTATTTTATTGATTGTTACTAGCTTTTCAGATAAATCTTAATAAGGATAAATGCCGTTACTTAAAAAAAAATTACTAATTTATTGCGTCTTGTGTAGCACGAATGGCATGTAAATATATATATATATTTATTTATTTATCTGTTTATTTATTTGTTTGTTTATTGATTTTTATTAATTCATGTATCTGTTTATTTATTAATTTGTCTGCTCATTTATCTATTCTTTTTTCTCCATTTATATATTTATTTTTTTTTATTCAATCTATCTATTTAATTTATTTATTTGTTTTCTTTAATTATAAATAAACAAATGGATTTATTTAAAATTTTTATTTATTTATTTTATTTTATTTCATTCAATTATTTTAATTTATTGATTAATTAAATTTAATTCACTTTGTGTAGTTCTTCATATACAGTGTCCGGGTAAAACAAATTTGCTTCAAACTATTTTTTAAGCATATTCAAATTACTTTTAATTCTTTTAATTTCATGATGGGTATCAAAATCATCGTCTTATTACACACAATCTAAATCTGGAATTTGTTTTATTGTTCCCTTTTACTTTGGTAAAATAAAAATTTCCTCAAAAACTTGTCACGGTTGTGAAAGAAATAACACCTGCGGAGTGGATACGGTCGTGCTGCCACAGAATAAACAGTGTATAGGGGTCAGTCAAAAGAACAATAGGTGTCTGATCTGTGTACCCAGAGTCACTGGTCAACGATCAACAGCTCAGAATTACTTTCACAACCGAACAGTTTTTGAGGAACATTTCTACCTTTCGTAACAAAGTAAAAGAAGCAAACAAATTACGAATTTAGATTGTTTGTAATAAGACAATTATTTTGATACCCATCATGAAATTAAAAGAATTAAAAGAAATGTAAATATGCCTAAAATAGTTTGAAGCATCGTTTGTTTTTCCATAAGACTGTTTATGGGGAACTACAAAAATAAATAGGAATTGAAAAAATTAATTAATTAAAATAAAATGAATAACAAAATAAATAAAGAAAGAAAAGAAAAAACATTAATTAATTAATTAATAATTGAATAAAACAAATATTTAAAAGCAAAGAAATGAAGATATTAAATAAATAAATAAACAGATAGATAAAAAATAAATAAATAGAAAAATATACAAATAAATAAGTAAAAAAATAAATAATAATATTGATTTTGTACATAATAATGTGTTTGAAGTTCTTTAGTAAATTTATCAATTTAATTGAATTTAATTTATTGATGTATATAATTTTTTTTTATTTCTTTGTCCGTTTATTTATCTATTTATTTTTTCATTCATTTATTAATTTTATATATCAAATTTATTTTTACGTATTTGTTTTATTTACATGTAATTTTTAATAAATTAATATATTTATTTAATTTTTTTTATTTATTTTATTTTATTTTATTTATTTCCTTTATTTTAATTTATTGATTAATTTTATTTAATTCAATTTGTGTAGTTATTCATTAACAGTCTCCGGTAAAACAAATTTGCTTCAAACTATTTTTTAAGCATATTCAAATTACTTTTAATTCTTATAATTTCATTATGGGTATCAAAATCATTGTCTCATTATGCACAATCTGAATCTGAAATTTGTTTTATTGTTCCCTTTTACTTTGGTAAAATGAAAATTTCCTCAAAAACTTGTCACGGTTGTGAAAGAAATAACACCTGCAGAGTGCTGCCACAGAATAAACAGTGTATAGGGGTCAGTCAAAAGAACAATAGGTGTCTGATCTGTGTACCCAGAGTCACTGGTCAACTATCAACAGCTCGGAACTACTCTCACAGCCATGACAGTTTTTGAGGAACAGTTTTAATTTTTTTTACCAAAGTAAAAAAAGCAATAAAACAAATTCCGAATTCAGATTGTGTGTAATAAGACAATTATTTTGATACCCATCATGAAATTAAAAGAATTAAAAGAAATGTAAATATGCCTAAAAATAGTTTGAAGCATCGTTTGTTTTTCCGTAAGACTGTTTATGGGGAACTACAAAAATAAATAGGAATTGAAAAAAATAATTAATTAAAATAAAACGAATTAACAAAATAAATAAAGAAAGAAATAACATTAATTAATTAATGATTGAATAAAACAAATATCTAAAAGAAAAGAAATGAATAGATTAAATAAATAAATAAACAGATAGATAAAAAATAAATAAATAGGAAAATATACAAAGAAATAAGTAAAAAAATAAATAAAAATATTGATTTTGTAACTAATTATTTGTTTGAAGTATCTTTAGTAAATTTATCAATTTATTTGAATTAAATTTATTGATTTATCTTTTTTTATTTATGTCTTTGACCATTTATTTATCTATTTATTTTTTCAATCATTTATTAATTATACACTGTATCTATCAAATTTATTTTTACGTATTTGTTTTATTTAATTTTTAACAAATAAATTAATTTATTTAAATTATTTATTTATTTTATTTTATTTTATTTATTTCTTTTATATTAATTTATTGATTAATTTTTATTTAATTCAATTTGTATAGTTATTCATAAACAATCTCCAGGTAAAACAAATTTGCTTCAAACTATTTTGTAAGCATATTCAAATTACTTTTAATTCTTTTAATTTCATGATGGGTATCAAAATCATCGTCTCCTTACGCACAATCTGAATCTGGAATTTGTTTTATTATCTCTTTTACTTTGGTAAAATAAAAATTTCCTCAAAAACTTGTCACGGTTGTGAAAGAAATAACACCTGCAGAGTGGATACGGTCGTGCTGCCACAGAATAAACAGTGTATAGTGGTCAGTCAAAAGAAGAATAGGTGTCTGGTCTGTATACCCAGAGTCACTGGTCAACTATCAACAGCTCGGAACTACTCTCACAGCCATGACAGTCTTTGAGGAACATTTTTAATTTTTTTTCCAAAGTAAAAGAAGCAATAAAACAAATTCCGAATTCAGATTGTGTGTAATAAGACAATTATTTTGATACCCATCATGAAGTAAAAAGAATTAAAAGAAATGTAAATATGCTTAAAAGATACTTTGAAGCATATTTTGTTTTACCTTACGACTGTTTATGCGAAACTCACAAATAAATTGAATAAAATAGAATTAATTAATTAAAATAAAATGAATTAAAAACTAAATAAATGTATAATATTTATCAATTAATTAATAATTCAATAAGGAAAATATATCTAAAAAGAAATATATGAACAGATTTAATTAATAAATTAGTCAATAAATAAATAAAACAAATAAATAAATACATGTGGATATATAGATAAACATATAAATAAATATAAATATATTTACTTGCCATTCATAACAAGACACAATAAATTTGTAATTCATTCTTTTCAAAGTAACTGGCATTTATTCTCCTTAAAATTTATCTAAAAGCTACATGTAGTAAACTAAAACAATCAAATACAATCATATTAAGAAATAAATTACTCAAGATATTCAAACAAATAACAATTGACTAAATATATATTTTCACAAAACTTAAGAATTGCCAAGAGTAACGTACTTCTCACAAGTAAATAGCAACAAAACATATTTAACCCTTTTTCCTGGTCAAAATGAATGTCAGGAGACGACAGGGGGTTGGCAGGGTGGTCAGGGACTTAGTCAGGGGACATCAGGGAGTTGACAGGGACGTCAGGGAATGTCAGGGGACATCAGGGGTTAGACAGTGGTAACAGGGGCAAAGTCAGGGGACGTCAGGGAGTAGACAGGGTAGTCAGGGACAACGACAGGGGATCATAGGAGAAAGTCAGGGGGAGACAGGAAAATGTCAGGGACAGACAGGGGAACGTCAGGGGATTTTTTGGAATCTAAGGGGAAAATCATTACAGTAGTGTAAGATTTGAATATAATTAAAATACATAATGTTTTAACTCATTTCTAGTAGTTTTCTTAAAATAATGCTCCCCGAAAATTTGTCAGAATAACACACACAGTCCATATTTGGTTGATTGATGGTGCAAGATTCAGGGGAAAATGTGGTACTCCTTTACTCTTCGGATTGCCCGTTCAACATGAATTCGAAGACGTGCAATTTCATGGGTTGTAGCAACCTCATTCCTGGAAAACTTCCCTTTTGCTCCTAAGAAAGGAGGAATACCTAGGCCAGCATTCTTGGCTTGCAGTAGATCAGATATTAAAAATCCCTTGTCTGCCATGACATCATCATTCTCTTCAAGCAGATCAAGTATTCCAGATCTGGCTGTGATTTCTTTGTCGGAAATCCCTCCAGTGTATAGAGAGCTAACGAATGAAACAGTTCCACAGGGTGTAATACCAACAAGACCCTTGAATGTGGTGTGGCTTTTGTAGTTCGAGTAAATCTGTGAGTTAAGAACTTTTGAGCTAGGGGTTTGTACTTTTATCTCAGTGCAGTCAAGTATTACACGAGTAAATGGGTATGTAATTCTAAAACTTTCAGGCATGTTCTTATTCACAACACTTCTTGAAAGCCATAGAGGCAAACTGCCAAGCATAGCATACAGGTAGTTTGACCATGTGATCAAAATTCTGCTTATAGATGTTTGTGACACACAAAATATAACCGCTAGATCTTGTTCAGGGAAGCCTTGTCTAATTCTACAAAGGAAGACAAAGAATTCGTCAATCAGGGACAGATGATGACTTTCCGAACTAAAAATTGTTTTTTTTAATTTTTCTAAATCCGCTTCCTGTCTCTGCATCTGAGTCCATCGAATCATAGTTGTAGCTGTTGGTTTGAGAGCACTAAACACAGCTTTCAATGTTTGGTAATCTTTGAACCCTGTGTAGAAATTTATCATGTTGTTGTCATTGTGAAATCGTTCTAATCCAAACTTTGCCTCTCTTAGAGCTGCGTTCTCCTCCTCGAGTCGCTTAAGTTCTACTTGAGCCGATTCAAGTTTCGAAGAATCTGATTCCTGTTGCACAACATAGTCATGGTCAAATGTTGCCAGTGGAACTTGTACAGAGTCTGATGCAATAACATTTTCATCCTTACCCTTTTCAATCTTGACTCTGAAAATTAAAATTAAAAAACTACAATTCATCAAGTTGTATTTAAAGATGATTATTAATATATATCAGGCATTTTGAGAGTATATGCACACACAGTACCAAAGTACAGATTTTATGTGCTGATTACATGATGAGAAAATTTGGACAAAAGAATTTGTCGACTTATTTTTAATTTTCTTTCTAAATTTATTCTGAAAAATCAAATTGAGAAATTTCCTTTTGAATTAATAATATGAAGAAAGGTTTTATCATTTTGTTCTTGTAAATTAAAAAAACAAAATTAGGTGCTTGTGCAACATAACTAATCTACATGTACTTTAAATTATAACACAAGATAATTATATTACATAATAATTAATGAATATAATTTGAAAAGCTCATTACATTTACTACAGAATTGTAGTTCTATGAGAATTAAAATTTCAGTATCTATCGGTTAATTTGAAAAATGCCCTTAGAACTAGTTCTGCAGATATACCTGTCCATACGGACAGGATATATTTACATAAATTCATTTAAATAAAACTTGCATTGATCTGCGCTGTGGTCCCAAGCGCTTTGCAGGTGTCTTTGTCCAGGCAAATTTTGTTGGGACAGCACCAGCGATAAGTTTTCTCTTTCCTGCCAGTGTCCTCTTTATGTACGCATCTTCAAAGTGTGCAGAGCACACAAGGGCATTATTTGTAATCTGAATATAGAAAACACATTAAGCACACATGCAAACAACTTAGCCTAACTTGATTTCCATAAAAACTTATTTTTATTAGTAAATGTGTGTATTTGACTGTCTAACTACCCCACCCTCCCAGAGTCAGCTTATAATGTGTATACGTATCTATATATCTGAACACTGTTATCTCTTTATTTTTGAGAGGCATCATGAGGCATTGTGATGCAATTTTCTTTGATTAATTGATACTCTAAGAGAACTTTAGTTATATTCTTCGCCGTATCGAGGTCAGGAGCATTTACAATGTATTGTACTCTGTTGTACACGTGCAATAGGAGTGTACACATTATGTGAGATTTCATTTAATATTCAAAATATTAATGCGTTAGTCGCATAGAAATAAATTATTAATTATAACAGAACACATTTCTTCAACGAAAAAATCAAACTCGTTTGTGGTTGTCATGTTTGTATGTGCCACATCATGCATCATAAACATGTACCGATATAGGCTTACACGAATGCATAGTGATAGTTGCCCTATAGATGCAAATGAAAGCATTACCTGGAAATTATTTCGTCCTATATCACGGCGAATTTTGACGATCCATTCTTTTCTTAATTCGTTGTCACTTGGAAATCGATGGAACGACAAGAGGTTCTTCTCGTCATAACGAGAATCATTCGTACAAAGTGGCACACAACAATGATATGCCGACATATTTGTTTGCGCTGAGAGCCTCGTTTTAAAACCGGATGTTGTCATGAGTGAATAAGAAGTATCTGAGTAAATTTATTTTCCCCGTTTCAAGTCCAGCCTGGTCTAGGGATTTGTAGATAACAGGTATAATTTCTAGAACCACTATTCAGTATTTATAAGTGTTATTTTCTTTATTTTGAATAAATGCATTTTGATTTATCATATTTTGAAAACATATATTTATATTGATAAAATATGTCTATTTTAAAAGAGCACATTGTCCTCTGACGGCTATACGCAAATACGCAAGTGCGTACACATCATTTTCAGGAAAAAAAAAGAAAAAAGAGAGAATTATTCGGAGAAAAAAAATCTCAGTACCATACAACAAATATTCGTATTTCAAATTATTCTGTGTCATACTGTGTTCGATTTAAATTTTAAATTATCATGGCTGTATGATCATACATTGATATTTTTTAAAAAGATCTTTGAAAAATTAAATTTCAGCTACATCGTTGAATGCTATGATCTACCAGTATAATTTACAATACGATATTTTTTTTGTTCATAATTAAAATTTTTGTATACGTGTTTTTTAAGGTTAAGAATGATTACATGATACCAATTAATATATCGGTTAAATTTTTAGCCTCAATTAGAAGTACAATAAGTTTCCACGGAATATTAATTTTCGTTAAAACAATAAATATTACTATGTCTTTTATTTCCTAAACAAGAACTAAATGGCATAATTTTTATTTTTCAAGAAAATGAATGAAATATTTGTTAAAACTCCGGAGCTTCTGGGCCCTCACCAGCAGGCACGTAGTATCAGGGGAGCCTCCCCACTATTTATTCCCAAAACCTAACCTTTTACTATTGAAAGAAATGTACATTGAAAGGGTGGACCCCACTGTTTTTTGCACTATTGTTAATTCATGGTAATTTGGTAATGTATTAATAAAAATTTGGTTTGTGAAAGATTGACCCCCCCCCACCCTTCAACAAACAAACACAAAGAAAATAGGACTTTGAATTTTGACAATCTTCCTTTTTCCTTCCTTGCTTGACAAAATCTTTAAAGTTGTAATTTTTTCCTGGCTGGCAAAATCTATATTACGTGTTTGACCAGAACCCTTAAATACTGGGGGGGGGGGGGGGCTCAAGACCCACACCCACCCAACCCCCTGCCGTTCTCTGCGTACACATCATTTCTATTCTGGTTACGCGCCTGACTTCAAAGTGATGACTAATTAGGACATGCACGCATTACGTATATTTTGTTTTTGATTTTTGTTTTTTTAAAGCTCCGAAGCAGCTTCAAACTGATGAAGAATTAAAGCATGCAAGCTCTGAAAATTACGTATATTTACTTTTATTTGTGATGAAAATGTAAACAAATGTGTGCATTTAGTGAAGATATATCAAAAAAGTCCAGTACCGACAATAGATATTAGTGTTTCAATTATTTGTGTTGTGTTTTATGTTCAAAAAAATTGAGAAATTTTATTTTCAGTTGTTTGTTTTAATTTTCTAAGAACATTTTTAAATTCAAATATCTATATAAACATTTAATATTTGTTAGTTTCTTAAACTGGGGGCGAGTTGTTTAAAATGGGGGCGACCTGTCCTGAATTGGGGGCGACCTGTCGGGGGGGGGGGGGGGGGGGGCGAGTTGCCCAGCATTCCAAGTGGAGAGTGGTGCATGTTACCAACGTCAAAGTTGTACTTTACCGAACCTCTAATATGTTCATTGAATGTGTTCAAAATCTTCGCCCTCGTAAATATGTACATAAATTAATTTCCTTTTCTTTTAATTACCAGTTATATTGTAATCGTCATTCATTTCTATTGAATGTGACTTATTGTGAAATTGAAATTTTTAGAATGAAAACAGTGAAATTTTATCGTGGCAACTGACGAAACAGCAATCACTACACTACCAACCAGTCCTATGACAACTACTGCACCTCTTACAACTACTACACCTCTGAAAGGTGGATATGAAAAAATGTTTCAAACATTCCAAGCCATGCGATTGAATCCAAAAGGTGACACACCAGAGGAACTGGACAATTGGATACAAAGTTACATTAAGTCAAAGGACACAAAGCCTATCCAACAACTCCAACCACTTGCTTTACCGGACACTGGAGCTATATCGAAGAAAACGGTAATATTATCTTCATTTCCCCCAAAAATTAGAACTTTTTCTGGAGGAGATAACAAATCAGAAATCTCCTATGATGTATGGAGATATGAAGTGAATATGACACTTAAGGATCCAACATACACTAAAGAGCAAAAGAACTTCGCAATCAGAAGATCTCTGACTGGCTCAGCAGCGCGAATGGTTATATATCAAGGACTGGAAAAGCCGATAGAAAATATTCTTGAGACTCTAGATAGTGTTTACGGTGGTGTTCAAAGCAAAGAATAATCATTAGCTGATTTTTACGGATCTATACAGAAGGAAGAAAAAGATGTTACAGCATGGAGTGCCCAACAGCTATAGACCATCTAAGAGATTTAGAAAATGAACATTAATCGGTATAAATGATAGATCATTAATTAATTGCAGAATGTAAATTGAATGTTTATTCTTATTGTAAAGTTTAGTTTATCTAGCTTTGTTAATTATGTACATGTATCTTTAAATTTATTAGGGGTAAATATGATAGCTTAGGATGGTTGGTGGGTGGTTTTTAGCTATTGTATACTGAAACGCAAAAGAAACGCAGCAAGCAGTAATCTACAAATATTTGAATTTTTTATCTAATGATTTTCAAAAAATGAATACAGTAAGTTAAAACTCGATTTATAAACATCAGAGATTTGATAAAAATATTAAATTATAATCTTTTAACTTTAGAAAGTAACACATGAATGTTAAAACACCCCCCACCCCGGCAATTCAATTACAGCGTGCAAGACTGCCAAGTACAACAGTTGCAGCTTGATTTCTACGATGCAATAGGTTCATCGATCTCGAGATCTGAGCGAAAGAAATATTCTTTGCCATTTTTAAATGCCTGTTTTTCAGATGACGAGGTCGAATATTCTCTGGCCAAGAGCAGTGTAGTAACCCTTGGACTTCCGGTCCAAGGTCTGTCATTCATGCTAATGAAACGTAAGAGCCTGTTGAGGCGTGAGGTGTTGCATATTTGCATATGCAACTCCCAATCACCTTTATTTTGAGATTTTCCAGCTAGTTCAATGGAAATGCGTACTTAAGTCATTTTTAGGAAGCCTTGGCATCGCTTACGGAAAAGAAAGGAGAATTTATTTTTCGTAACATTGCTTCATTACTTATGATGAACAGATACAAATTCTTAAAACCCCATATTATTGCCAAATATTTTGTTAAACATGCAATTTTTGATTTCTGTTAAGCGGACTCAAACCTAACTTCCGGTAATGGTAGGAAAATCATTCAACCGTTAAATTACCGATATTTACAAAGATGAAGATGTGCTTACTTTTTAGATACAAAATTATATCCTATATATAATATTTTACCTTAAAATAGGATGTTGCGTTTCTTTTGCGTTTCAGTATATAAATTATGTGCAATGTTAGATGTGCCGTCCATGAAATTTTTATTTTTGTAAATACCTATTTACGTAAAAGTTGCTGACAGTCATATGCAACATTTGAATAAGGCTTTTGATGAGCTCGTTATTTATTTTCTGTGAGTTCACTGATTATGTATTATTACACTATCATTTACCCCTTATGAGATCAACATGGTGAAATAAGGACCCTCGACCTGGCCCACAAGGTGACCTGACCAGGTCGAGGGTCCTTATTTCACCATGTTCAACTCATAAGGGGTAATCAATTGTTTTATTATACCGATACAAGTTATGAATTTACTAAAATAATCAATTGTGTATTAGACCTACGAACTGTTATTAGTGTTCCATCGCGATCGGGATTCGCTAGTGAAGTTGTTTACTTTTCGTCTGCAAGTCTTGTAAAGTTTTTGCACCGCCGATTTATTAAAGCACTCTGTGAATGTTAGTAACATGCAACTGACATGCAACAGTAACATGCAACATATCTGGTTGGTGTTAAAGTCCATATCGGTGTAAACTAATTAACTAGAGAAAG